GAAAAAAAAAAAAAAAAAAAAAAAGTTCATGATTGTTTCACATGTCATATATCCATCCCATTTAGTTCACATTAAATCTTCCATGTCTTGAAAATTTCATGTCATATGTCCATTGCATTGCATTTTTTATCTAATGCACCACAAAATATGTTTTCATATTCATCTCATGTAACATTCTCCATTCTATTTCATTTTTCATCTCATATTTCACAAAAAAATTTACTAAAAAAAAAGAAATTACACCCATGTTCATTGCATTACTTCTTTTATCTCATATAAAAAATTGCACAAAAATATGTTAAAAAATCTCATTCACATCCATTTCACATTGCATTTTGTACCTCAAATTTTTATTTCAAGCATTACTATCTCTATCTCATATTTCCCTTATTTTATAAAAGTTGCAAAAAATAAAAATAAAAATAAAAAAAATGATGAAAAATGCAAAAAATGAAAATTTTATCTATCTCCATTTCATATTTTAAGTTTCCTTCTCATGTTTCTTCATCTCATCTTTCTCACATTTCAAAAAGAAAAAAAGAAAAAAAAAATTGTCCAAACCCTCATTGACAGTTCTCACCATCTTGCATTTTTCTACAAGAAATTTATACTTGCATGTTTCAAACTTGTGGGCCTTTTTCACCAAATCCAAACCATTTCACATTTTTGAAAAAAAAAAAGAAAAAAAAGAAAAAGAGAAGAGGTTCTTCAAAGATAAATTCATGAAAAATTCATCTTCTAGGCATCAAAATAATTTGAGCACACGGAATATCATATCATCATTTTCTCCAAGCATCACACCATTCACTTTTTCTTTGAGTTTCATGGCATTTGCTTTCTTTTCAAAGGACGACATTTCCTATGAATACTAACTTAATGGTTGCAATAGTAAATCATCAACTTCTCCTTTGAGACTTGCTTGGCATACTTAATGAAGAAAATTTCATGTTTTAGGATACAACTTCACACACTACCACTTGTTAGCATGTTTATATTCTTGCATCCTTTCTCTTGTTTTCCATCCACATTTGTTTCTTCTCTTGCGTTCCCAAAAATCCATGTTTTAGGACACAATTTCACACACATTATCACTTTAGATCATCTTCGTGTTCCTTCATCCTTTATCTATTGTTTGGCATCCATGTTTATTTCCTTTCTTGCACTCCCATAATCTTGTTTGATTCTCTACCTTCAACAATTGAAATATGGATTCGTACATGGTCAAGCGCGAATCTTTGTCAGTCTAGACACCTTTTGAAATATTCATCCATGGAGAAAGTTTTGACTAATAAGGATTCAGGAGATCTTCAACTGCATGCATTTTCTCCATCGTTGACAATTGCTATGTCCAAGAGGCAAGCTTAAAAGCACAAGAACCAAAAGCAGCCTTAAAGATCAAAAGTTTGAGCACATCACACTTTATGTTACTCTAACAATCAAGGGATTCATCAAGGAAAAGAATGGAACTTCTCATTAAACAATTGTACTTTGAATGGTCTAGGAGGTAGATTTTACTAGGGACTTGAATGCTACCATGTCGATGTACTTAGCGTGATGTACTAGGCGTTTACATTGTAATAAATGACCATCTTTGTAATGCATGTTGAATTGCTTGTAAGTGACTTCTCTATAGCCCTTTAAGTCCAATGGAAATCTCAATGCGTTCAAAGATATTTTGCTTCATCCGAGGCTCCTTAAGGATTGGAAATTGACAATCGACAATGTGTGAATCCATATAGCAATTGTTGAAGCA